GGCGCGGCGGGGGGCTGCCCGCCCGAGCCCTTCTCGGCCTTCTTCTCCTTCTGCTTGAGGTGGATCTTGGCGTGCCGCTTGCGCTCGTCGGAGCGGGCGAACTTGCGGCCGCAGAACTCGCAGGCGAAGGGCTTCTCGCCGGTGTGGGTGCGGATGTGGGTGGTGAGGTGGTCGCTGCGGCTGAAGCTCCGCATGCAGATGCGGCACTGGAAGGGCTTGTGGCCCGTGTGGATGCGCAGGTGGCGGGTGAGCTCGTCGGAGCGGGAGAAGCGGCGGTCGCAGCCCTCGGCGGGGCAGGCGTGGGGCCGCTCGTGGAGCGGCGTCTTGCTGGGCCGGTTGGGGTACTTGCGGGGTCGGATGGGCTTGAGGGTGAGGGGCGGCTGCGGCAGCCCCCCGAAACCCGGGTGGATCTGCTTGTCCTTGAAGGCCTTGATGGTCTCCAGCGGGGTGATGGGGGGCGGGTTGACGCGGATGGGGTCCAAGCTCTGGAAGGGTTTGTGCTCCGTGATGGTGCCCATGTCGTTGGGGTGGTGGTAGAGGTTATAGTCTGGGATCATGGGGAAGAGGTTGCTGTCCAAGGCGGGCTTGGCCGCCTGGTAATCCTGGGGGGAGTAGGTGAGGCCGGGGTTGCTCTGGGGGTCGTGGAAGGAGACGGGCTCTGGGTAGAGGTCACTGCAGGAGGAGTAGGGCGGCAGCGCGGGGTACATCTGGTCCACCTCGCCCTGCGGCGGCCCCATGCTGCCCGCCGAGCTCTGCGTGCTGGTGAGCGCGCCCGACGACGGCGGCACCCCCAGGATGCCGGCGCTCATCAGGCTGATGATGTTGTCCTGGCACCAGTTGGAGGGCGAGTCGAAAGCGAATTTCCCCAGGTAGGTGACAGTCTTGTTGCCCGGGGCGGGTTGAAAAGTGCCCGAGTAGGAGGACAATTCCTGACCGGCCTTTTCGTTCGCTAAGCCAATGTCCATAACATTATCTGCAAAGTGCGAGAGAAGCGGGGCAGGGTGAGCCGGGTGGGCCCAGGAGGGGGAGCAGCGGGGATGCACCGGGGGATGCTCCGGGGAGCTGGGGATGCACCGGTTCCCTCTCGCCTCGCTCCCTCCCGCACCACTCTCTGCTTCCACCCCGCGTATGCGGCGCTGCCTGCCGGGGGTCCCGACGATGTGGGGCCGCCCCCGCCGCCCCCGCGGGGAGCTGCCCTGGGTGGGTGGGTGGGGGGGGGACACCCCACCGCCGCCCCGCCGGGGGAAGGAGGTACCTGCGGCTACAGGTAGGCTTCCTCCCCGTCCAGCCCCGGCAGCGCTGGGCACTCCGCGGAGCCGGGGCTGCGGCCGCCGACGCCGCCGTTACCGACTCGCCGCCTTCCCTGCGCCGAGCCCCGGCGAGGAGAAACACGGGGATCATGGAGGGAGGAGGGGGGGCTCTCAGCCTGGCGGGGCTCCGCGTGGGAGCGGGGACACGCGGGGAGCACCCGCCCCCGCCGCCCTCGGCGCTCACCTGTGCCCTCCAGGTCCTCCTTTCTCCTGTCCCCCTCCCCTCTCCTTTTTCCCCCCTCAACCCCGCGCTCCGGGAAAGTCGTCGCCGCGTCCCGGGGAGCCCACGCTGCCGCCGCTGCGGGGTGTGGGGGGGCAGCCGCCACGGCCCCACGCGCGCCCGCGGCGCCTCCGCACCCGCGCGGAGCCCGGCGCGGGCGGGCTGCCCCTCTGCGCGACACAGGGGTGCCCCTCGGCCTTTCCCCCTCGGCTTTTCCACCCGTGTCCTCCTCCCCCACGGAGCCCCGGCCGCCGTGCCCGTACCTGCGGCGGCGGCTCGGCGGCGGCAGCGCTCGGCGGAGCCCCTGCAGCGATCGCGCGGAGAACACGGCGAGGAAAAGGGGTGGGTGGGTGCGGGGTGGGGGACGCTCCCCAGCCCCAGCTCTTCCCTTCCCTCCGAGGCTCCATGACACCCTACCCACAGCATCCTCCTCCTCGCCCCACCGGCTTCCACACGCACCCCCCCCCCCATTCTGCACCGCTTCTCCCCATTTTCCTTCCCCCCCCCCTCCTTCCCCTTTTACCTGCAGCCATCTGGTTGTAGTGAGCCACCGAGTCGCTGGTGCTGGAGAAGATATTCAAAGAGTTGGGGATCTCCTCTGGGTACAGATTGTCAGGCAATTGGTTCATCAAAGTGTTCATGGTCCCCGGCAGCTTCTCCAGTAGTTTGCCTGTCATAGCACTGGAGGAAAAGGCTGGTTCAACGTGGCTCCGAGCTCAGCTCCCGAGGAAACAACATCCGAGTGGCAAATCCGTGCGAGGGAAATCATGCAAGAAAAAAAGTTGGGGCGGGGGCGGCGGGGGGGGAGGAGGAGGAGGCGGCGTGGGGTGGGGGGGGGGGGGGGGGGGGGGGGGGGGGGGGGG